TCACGGTCAGCATCGACCTGGCGGGTTTTTCCAGCGATCCTTCTGGTTCAGCCTTCCAAGGTGCCGGAACTACAGATACGCACCACCGTGCCTGGCTAATTTTTTTGATTTACTGTAGAGATGAGGTCTGGCCAAATTGCCCAGGCTGGTCCCAAACCCTCGGGCTCAGGCCATCCACTTGCCTTGGCCTTCCAAAGTGCTGGGATGACAGCCTGAGCCACTGAGCCCGGCCCCATAGAGTTTTTTTTTTACTCATTCTCTCTACTAAGTGGAAGCCATTCCACTCATACTGGAAGTTTCTCATGAAGCCTGGTGCCGATTTGCTCTAAATTCGACCTATTACATTTAAGCCTGCAGCTGTCACCTGGGTCATTCTACTCTTGGCTCAGTCCCCCAGATTCGAGTATCCCATGTCTGCTTATTTCTTTTTAAATTTCATCTTTATTTTTCTAGAATGCATCGTCAAGAAACATCTCTAGAATGGTACATGGATATCTGAGAGTGTATTTATTTATCTCATGTACTTGATAGATAACTTGGCTGAGTAGAATTAGAGGTTCAAGATCACTTTTTCTCTAGCCTCTGAAGACATTGTTCCACTGTCTTATGTAATTTAATGCTGCTGTGAAAAGTTCTTGATCTTTGTGTTATTATTTTTCTTTCTGGAAACTTTCAGGAACTTCTCTTTATCAACGTTGCTGGGAAATGTCTTGAGGATGTGCCTGGATGTGGTAATTTTGCTTCAGTTTATTCTGTTCAAGGTTCCGTGGATTGTACTTTAAAGCCAAATGTGTTTCTTTGGTCCTAAAAAAATCCTTCTATTATCTCTTTATCAATTTCCTCTCCACTCTGCTTTCTAGTGATCAAATATTAGACTTTTGAGATTGAATCTCTATATAGTTTTTCTCTACTTTTGTCTCTTTTACATTTTTTCCTTTATTATGGGAAATTTCTTCAACTTTTTCTCCCAGTTCCTTTTCTGCATTTTTTCAGCAATCCTATTAAATTTCCAATATTTTTTCTTATTTTCAGTGGGTTTTTTTTCCCCATTGAGTCCTGTCACATTTGTTCTCAAATTTTTTGAAGATATAGAATTTGTATGCTTAAGTCTTTCCGTTTCTTATATTATCTGTTTCCTCTGGTATTGGTGTTCTTTATGTTTATCATGATACGTATTTTTTAATTTGCAGATTTTTATCACATCTGGTTGCTATGGTCTGAATGTATCCCCCTAGCATTTGTATGTTGAAACTTAATTGACATTATGATAGTATTAAAGAGTAGGCCTTCAGGAGGTGATTAAGTCACGGAGGCAGAGTCCTGGTGAATGGGATTAGTGATCTTGTAAAAGGGGTCCTATGGAGCTGTCTGCCTCTTCCCTCGTGTGAGGCTGCAGCAACAAGGCACCATCCATGGAGCTGAAAGCAAGCCCTTACTAGACTCCAAATCTGCCAGTGACTTCATCTTGGACTTCCCAGACTCCAGAGCTATAAGCAACATATTTCCTTATTGATAAGTTACCCAGTCTAGTATATTTTGTTATAGCATTCTGAATGGACTAAGACACTGCTAAGTTTTCATTTGTTCATATTTAAGGATAAAGATATGGGTACATTTTTCTAGGAAATTGCCATTAATTTTACAAATAAGTCTTTCCCCAGAGCGAAAAGATAACTGTTCTGTGTAGAGGGCAAAGTTTCCAACCACCTAGCTTTACTTTAGGATTACAAGGTAGAGAGTAGGCATTTTGCCTGGAAGCCTTCCTTCCAGATGCCACCATGGAAAGAGCCAAAACCCACATCAGCAGGAAGTTTATTATAAGGAGAGCACTCCTTATTTTAGCCTGAGGTTAATTACATGACATTTCCTGTAACTGGCATGTGGCACAGGGTAACAGAGATGGGGGAAGTGGCAACTGGCTAGGAAATTCCATAGATAGTATTTCAATTAACTTGTCTTTCTACAACTTTTTCTCCTATTCCCATTCTCAATACCTGCCTCTTCTAAGCCTGGAGTTTCTTTGGGTTTCATAAAAAAGATAGCATATTTTTTAGTGGCTCCAATACTGTAAATCTTCAGTTATCTTTCTGTTTCAGAAATCTGTTGAAATCTCTCTTATACACTGATCTATCTCTATCTCTCTCTCTGTCTCCCTTTCTCTCTCCTTCCCTCCCTCCTTCCCTTCCTCCCACCCTCCCTCCTTCCCTCCCTATTGCTTTCTCACAAACACACATGCACACCTACCTGTCGATTCCTTTTTATATTGATTGGTCAAAATCGTAAAGAGACCTCAATAGGGCACAGCTATAAATTGGCCATATTGATTCAGAAGGACCCTGACCTTTAAAGCTAATTCCTCCACCAGTTCCCCTAGTGGAACATTCAATATTGACTTCTGAACGACCTCGCTTCCTCAATAATTTCTTGTTTGACTTTTCCTGAAATATTTCTTAGACAGATACAGCATCTGTTTCCATATCTTCTCCATAAGTCTTCAAGGAAAGAAACGATGAGGGACTGAACCAAAGCAGTAGCAATGAAAAGGTAGTGGAGGCTCTGATGGGGGAGAAATTTAGCAGTCCAACTTGACAGAACTTGCAAGTGGCTGTTTGTAGTGCTTAGAAGAAAATCCTCAGATGTCTTGTTTGGAAAACTGAATAAATCATATTGTCATTAACTGAAATTCTAGTTATATTATATTTTCACTGCCATTTAGTTTGAAAATTTGTCCTTACTTCCTCTATGATTTCCTCTTTGAGATATGGATTCCTCAGAATTATGTTATAGGATTTTTAAAAATTTGGAGTTTTCCAAGAATCTTACTGTTATTGATTTCTAATTGAATTCCAGTGTGGTCAGAGAACATATTATGTAGGATTCCAATCCTTCTAAACTTTTATTGGGACTTGTTTCAAGGCTCAGAGTATGTTCTATCTTACTGAAAGTACTTTGTGCACTTGAAGGAATATGTATTTAGCAGTTACATGGGGGTAGTAGTCTATAAGTATATAAATATGTTCATAAATAATAAGCATTTCTATATATTATGATACATAAATATGTAAGTATATATATAAATTAAGTCAAGGTGGTTGTTAGTTTCATTCAGGTCCTCTGTCTCTTTACTAATTTTTCATCTAATTCTTCTATCAATTACTGAGAAAGAGATATTAAAACCTCTAACTATAAAATTGCCTGTTTCTCCCTTTGATTCCATCAGTTTTTGCTTTATGTATTTTGGAATTCTGTTATTAGGCGCACATATTCATGATTTTTATGTCTTCCTGATGAATTGATCTTTTTGTTATAATGAAATGTCTGTCTCTATCTATGCCAATACTCTTTTTTCTTGAAGTCCATTTTGTCTGATATGAGTAGAAATACTCTAGCCTTCTTATGCATTGTGTTTAGTATTTTTCTGTCAACTTACTTTCAACTTATAGTTAAAGTGCGTGTCTTATAGATGACATATACTTGAGTCTTGCTTTTGCTTTTTTACCTATCCTGAGAATTTCTTTTGATGGAAAAGTTTAGTCCATTTATATTTAACATAATTATTGATATGGGTGAAGTTAAGTCCATCATTTTATTCTTTTTTGTTTTTTTCCTTTTTTTTTTATTCCTCTGTTCCTCCTTTCTTGCCTTTCTTTAGATTAGTTGAATATTTATTAAAGTTTTATTTTAGTTTATCTTATCTATTGGCTTTTAGTTATAGCTCTTTGTTTGAGTTTTTTAGTGGTTTCTGTACAGATTACAATATACATTACCAAGTTTTCACAGTAGATTGTAAAATCGGTCCTTTTACTACTTCTCATAAAGGTATAGAAACCTTTATAAATGTATAGGTCCATTGGCCCCCCCAACCCCCATCATTTACACCATAATTTATACATACATATATATGTATGTATATATTATATATATGTATATATACACATATATATATTGTCTCACCATAAACCCTATGGGACAGTATTATAATTTTTGCTTTCAATAATCCTCTGTGTTTTAAAGAACATACAGGGAGTAAAAAAAATAATAATAACCAAATATTTACCAGATCTGATGTTCTTCAGTCCTTCCTGAAGTTCCAAATTTCTGTATCATTTCCCTTAAGCCTGAAGAACTTCCCTGAGTATATTTTTTAATGGAGGTCTGCTGTCAACAAATTTTTTTAGTTTCTTTTCACCTAAAAATGTTTTAAGGGCTGGGTGCAGTGGCTTATGCCTGTAATCATAGCACTTGGGGAGACCGAGGTGAGATGATTATTTGAACCCAGGATTTTGAGACCAGCCTGGGCAACATAGCAAGATCTCATTTGTACAAAAAAAAAAAAAAAAAAAAAAGTTTAAGAATATTTTTGAAGGAAGTTTTTTCCTTGATACAAAATTCTGGCTATTTTGTTTGTTTGTTTCAGCATACTGATGATGCTTCAATGCCTACTGGCTTTCATGGTTTCTGATGAGAAGTCGGGGGTATTTTGAATTGTTGGTCCCCTCTATGTAACTTGTTTTTCTCTGACTGCTTTCAAGATATTGTCCTGGTCTTTGGGTTTTACCAGTTTGACTCTGGGCCTAGCCATGGTTTTCTTTGTAGTTATCTTTCTTGGAGTTAACTAAGCTTCCAGAATTTATAAATGTCTGTCTTTCACCAAATTAAAGAACATCATTTCTTCAAATATTTTCCCCCATTCTACTTCTCCTCCCCTTCTGAGACTCTTGATACACATATGTTAAACCTTTTATTATTGCCCTGCAAGTTCCTGAATCTCTAGTTTTTTCATATTAAATAATGTCTCTTGATCTATCTTTAAGTACCCTGACACTTTCCCCAGACATTTCCATTTTGTTTTAAGCTCAAGCATTGAATTTTAAAATTTCAGGTATTACATGTTTTAGTTCTGTAATCTTCATTTTAAAAATAGTTGCGGGGCGGGAAAGAGCCGCAGTCGGAGTCGCGCCGCAGCCGGCCGTGTGCACGGAGGCCGCCCCCTCGCCGGCATGGGGCTGCTGGAGCTGTGCGAGGAAGTGTTCGGCACCGCCGACCTTTACCGGGTGCTGGGCGTGCGGCGCGAGGCCTCAGACGGCGAGGTCCGACGCGGCTACCACAAGGTGTCCCTGCGGGTGCACCCGGACCGGGTGAGCGACGGCGACAAGGAGGACGCCACCCGCCGCTTCCAGATCCTGGGGAGAGTCTATTCCGTCCTGAGTGACCAAGAGCAGAGAGCGGTGTACGATGAGCAGGGCGCTGTGGACGAGGACTCTGCTGCGCTCGCCCAAGACCGGGACTGGGAGGCGTACTGGAGGTTACTCTTCAAAAAGATCTCTCTAGAAGACATTCAAGCATTTGAAAAGACGTACAAAGGCTCTGAAGAAGAGCTGACTGACATTAAACAGGCGTATCTGGACTTCAAGGGGGACATGGATCAGATCATGGAGTCTGTGCTTTGTGTGCAGTACACAGAGGAACCCAGGATAAGGGATATCATTCAGCAAGCTATTGATGCCAGAGAAGTCCCATCCTATAATGCCTTTGTCAAAGAGTCGAAACAAAAGATGAATGCAAGGAAAAGGAGGGCTGAGCAAGAAGCTAAAGAAGCAGAAAAAAGCAGGAAAGAGTTGGGGCTTGATGAAGGAGTGGATAACTTGAAAGCTGTCATTCAGAGCAGACAAAAGGATCGGCAAAAGGAAATGGACAATTTTCTGGCTCAGATGGAAGCAAAATACTGCAAACCTTCCAAAGGAGGAGGGAAAAAAACGACTCTCAAGAAAGGAAAGAAATAATGGAATTTTCCTCTTCAAAGGTCCTTAGGTGTTCATTGATGCCATGGTGGCAAGGTGCAGTCAAGATTTGAAGGCAAAAGTCAACCCAACCCTTGAGAGAAACTGTCTTTCCAGCCTAAATTTTTCAGATCGACTAAAAAGCAAGTGGAATCTCTCAGTGTGGTATTAGTATTTCCTAGAAGTCACCTGACATCATAGGAGGTCTTGAAGGAATTTGGTGGGGATAGTTAGGAGGGCAGAGGGAGTATACTTCCTGACAGCACTTGCTTCTGTGGTTCTTCTGTATGCAGAACTCTTATCTAGAAAGTGGGTCTGTTCATACAGCTTTTTGTGATGTGCAGGTCTATTAGAATGGACATTCTACCTAGCTAGAGCACCTTGAAAGCACTAGCTTAACAGCTGTCTTCCAAATACTTGCCAGTTTATACCTGGTCTTAATGATCTTGAATACACCCTCTCTTTGTTTTACTCGGCCAGGTTTTGTACTTTTCAGGTGTTCATAATTCAAGCATTTTTCTAAGACTTGTATATGATTAAATAAACAAGTAAGACATAAAAAAAAAAAAAATAGTTGCTACTTCTCTGATGTCTTATGTTTTCTCCTTTACTTTGAACATATTTTACTATTTTTCATCAAGCATAGTTATAATAGCTGCTATAAAATCTGTTAATTCCAACAACTGGGTCATTTCAAGGTTGGTCTTATTTGATTTTCCTAAGATGTTAAGAGTGGGTTTCACTTTCCTTGTCCTTTATATGTCATGCTGGATTTATCCTGGGCATTATGACTGTTACACTATAACGATGCTGGTCTCTGTTGTGGTCCTTCCAAAAATGTCGATGCTTTTGTTCTGGCAGCCAATTAACTTGATTAAGGACTCGAAGTACAAGATGACTCTTGAGAAGCAGCTCAGATTTCAGTTCAGCTGTGTGATCCCTAGTTGGTTACTTACAGCTTTTTCTAAGCACACACGGTGCAGGGCTGAGACAGAAGTCTCACGCATTGAAGTCTCTCACGCAGCAAGTCTTCTCATACACAGAAGATGGGGCCGCCGTCTTTGGTGGTCTTCTTTTTAGCATTCCGTTCTCACTTTCCAGCAGCTTTGTGTGTCCTGAACTTTGTCCTCCAATTCTTCTGGCCAGAAATAACTTGGGCTTGGTTTCTAGCAGAGTTTTAGATGCCTCCCTCGTTCGCTGCCAGTTTCAGCCTGCCTGCAAGCTAAAAGTTATAAAAACAGCAATTGCAGCCAGGCGCGGTGGCTCGAATCTGTAATCCCAGCAGTTTGGGAGGCCGAGGTAGAGAGGGTGGCCTGAGCCCAGGAATTCGAGACCAGCCTGGGCAATTTGGTGAGGTCTGTCTCTACATAAACCAAAAAACTAGCCAGGTATGGTGGTGCCTGCCTGTAGTTTCAGCTACTTGGAAGGTTGAGGTGGAAGGATCGTCTGAGCCCAGCAGGTGGAGGCTGCAGTGGCCGGGAACGTGCCACTGCATTCCAGCCTGGCAGAACCAAAAAAAAGAAAAAGAAAAAGAAACCAAGTTTCAATACTGTTTCTTCGTCACCTGCTTTTGCTCACTCTCCAGAACCTTCAGGTCAGTGTGTGTGTGTGTGTGTGTGTGTGTGTGTGTGTGTGTTTTGTCTAGGGAGATGGGTCTGATAAGGGATTACTTAGCCATACTGAATCAGAATTCCTCAGAGTTTTGAGTGGCTTCCGTTACCTTTCTTTTTTGAAAGCAGGATTTATTGAGAGGACAGAAAAGCTCCCACAGTGGGAGGGGACCCCAGGGGGTTGTTCTTGTTATCTTTTTCTATTTCATTACTCAGTATTCCCTAAAAATGTATGAATAACTGTGATAGGTTATTCTTGTCACATCAGAAACAAAGACATTACCATTAACTATGGTGTTGGCTACTAGTCTTACATAGATGTCGTTTGTAAAATTATGTAAGATATTCCTTATCATCGAAGAAAATATTGTCTCTGTATAGTTTTATTACAGTTATTATCAATAATAGTTTTATAATTTACCATATGTATTTTCAGTGTTGCAGCTATTAAATAGTTACATTGTTTTTCTCCTTTTTGGCTTATTGGATAATATGTATTAGGAATCTTTAATTCCTGATAAGCTTTATTTGGCCACTCTGAACTATCATATTACTGTAGTGCTGATTAGTATTTTATTTTGGATTTGTGAAAAACCTTGAAGTCATAGGTAGCATTAGCTTATAGCCTTCTTCTGGTGTATTATCTTTTCAGACTTTGGTGTTGAGACTATGCCATCTTTTAAAAAGTACTGACAGCCAGGTGTGGCACCACACACCTGTAATCCCAGCACCTTGGGAGCCTTAGGCAGGAGGATTGCTCAAGACCAGGTGTTCGAGACCAGCCTGGGTAACACAGCAAGATCTCACCTCTACCAAAAAAAAAAAAAAGAAAATAATCCTGTAGTCCCAGCTGTTTGGGAGGGTGAGGCAGGAAGATCAATTTACCCCAGGAGTTCAAGTCTTTGGTGAGCTGTGATCATGCCACTGCACTCCAGTCTGGACAACAGAGTAAAACACTGTCTCCCCCCGCCCCCCAAAAAGTACTGAAAAGTTGTTGTTGTTTACTTTTTAATGTAATTGATATTATATTGCTTGAGAATTATGTGTCTCATGAAAGTTTTAATGAACATATTTGTAAACCTATTTGGGCCTAGTTACTATTTTAAATTATGTCTTAAAGGTGGTTATTTGAAATTTGTTTATATTTCTTTGAATAATTATTGGTATGCTCACATTTTCTACTTCTCATGACAATTTTGGTAATTTTTCTTGATAGTAAAGTTGCTCTGTTTGTCTTTCAAGACATCCATAGTCTTGGGGTCAACTGTCCTTCCTACTGTTCAGGTTTGTCCTGTACCCCCCATAGATCATTAATGCCTACCGCTCTAAACATACTATTTTCCTGAATGTCTCCTGAACACTCTAGGCTTATGCTGTTGGCCTCTCCTGAAATGCCCTCGTCTTTAACTCTTAGCATGAAGCTCTTCCTCCTCTATGAAACCTTTCCTGTTTATTCTAGCCTTTATTGGTATCTCTCTCTTCTACACTCTTCCCCATTTATAGATTTTATTGGTTGGCTCGGTTTTTAGTGATATTTCTCTATTACATCATTTGCTATTGTTTTGTGTATGCTAATCCTATATATCCGATAAAAATCAAAGCTCTTTATGGCCTGAATTTTTGTCACATGCCTCATTTTTTTTTTAGTTGGAATCTTACTCTGTCACCAGGTTGGAGTACAGTGGCACGCTCACAGCCACCCCAGCGTCGACCTGCTGGGCTCCAGTGATCCTTCCTCCTCAGCCTTCCAAGTAGCCAGAACTACTTGCTACCACATCCAGCTAATTTTTGATTTATTGTAGAGATGAGGTCTCACCAAGTTGCCCAGGTGGGTCTCGAACCCGCAGGCTCAGGCAATCCGCTCACTAGGTCTCCCAAAGTGCTGGGATGAGAGTCTGAGCCACCGAGCCTGGCCCTCATTTTTATTTCATCTTATCCAGAACTAAATATATCTGATGCCTAGTGTGAAAAAAAATGGGCCCTAAACAAGTATTGGCATGTTGATGGAGAATCATAAATTATGGAATTCATATTTACATATGCATTATGCATGACCTATTTACATATTTCAGATACACATTTAGATGTCTAGATATGTGTATTTTACTAAAAATCTATGGATCCGACCTGAGATTCTCGCCTAGGAAAAGTTGGGTCATTTGTTCTCAGCTTCTCCCCTTTAATTAGAACTACTCTCTTCTGTTCCTCCTCTGTTAGGGAGAGTCAAGTTTCTGCAAAAACAGAGAGGGTCTTTTTTCCCCTCAGTATTTGAGCTTTAGACTTTCCCTGCATTTGGAGAAATAAGTTTTATATGAATATAGAGGCTAAATTTTAGAGACAAAGGAAATAAAATCAGTAAAAAGTATGAGCACAGGCAAATCCTTTCACCTCTAAAGGTTTGTTTCTTATTTTAAAGTGGTACTGATAACGCCTGTCTCATCAGGGTTTATGGAGGAATAAATAAAACAATATATTTGAAAGTATCTAAAGAACCAGCTGCCTGTGATCATAATTAGATCTTTCAAATGTGCATAATCAAGTATAAGTTATTTATTTACACACACGTTTCTGAAAGAGTTTCCATTTCCCTGATGTTGAGGTGGAAAGTGCAACTCCCTTTCGTGTCCTGTACTCACAGCATGGACAAGCACGTAGAAGCTTGTTGGGTTCCACGGTCTTCTCTCCCCTAATCAACCTTCAGTCCAAGGCTTATAGAAAGGAAAGCGGCTCTACTTTATGTACAGGTATGCAAACTGCACATTTATATTGAAATAACAGAAAGCTAACTGCATCTAAATTTAGGATATAAGCACTAAGAAAATCCGTTTCACTATGTAATGACATCTGAAGACTCTCTATTTCATAAACAGTAAGGTCCGGATTCCTTAGCATGGCACATAAGAGTTTCCCAGCCTCCTATTCTGTCTCTAACCTATCCACACCCTGCTGATTCTAGTCATATTTTTCCCCCTCTCATTTCTCTTGAGAGATAATTCTGGTCATATTTAACAGGCTATTTCAGTTCCTGTGTGATTTGATTTAGTCTATTCTCTGTGCTCCAAACATACACCTCCACCTGACAGTTTTGGTTTCTCTTTGATAGTTGGAATCTGTAGCCACGATCAAAAGAAAATCTGACAGCTTGTAGCTTAAACAGTAAAGATACGTATCACCTCAAATAACAAGACGTCCATCAGTGAGGCGGTCACAGGAGTGGTTAATTCAGGAATTTCATGGTATCATTCAACAACCAGTTACTCCATCTTTCCTCAACTGTCTTAGCAGGTAGCTTGTCCTCCTAGGACTGCTATATGATATGGTGACTACTATTCAAGATAATTTGTGTGGATACCAACGTCCGCTGAAGAGGAGAAAAGCTTTTTTATCCCCTTGTAAGAACGAGAAAAGAGGTTTTCTCAAAGCAAATTTTCCTTTATGTCTCGTTGCCTCAAATAGTATCATGTATCCATATCCAATCCAATAAGTCATTATTGGTTTAGATGACTTTTTCCAACTTTTAACACAACCCACAACAAGACATACTTTTTGTATCACAACCAAATATTGGGTTGATGAGTAAGTTCGCAGCGTTTTTTTCTTGCCCCTGGAATGCAGGTGTCATGTGACGGTTGACTGGTCACAATTCACATTCGCCAATTCTTGGGTTGACTGACATGGATCCTCGGGGAGCAAAGTGTTTAAATGGTCTTCATCGAAGCCCGAGGGTCTTCCTGAATGTAGAGAATCCCTCAGGTCAGAGTGGCCCTCTTTGAAACAACAAGGCTGTCTTCTCGTCCTGCTTTCCCAAAGGTGTTCTCTCTGCACACGGCACCCACATTTCAAGCAGCCTCCACTGCCTTTGCTTCTCTTTTAAACAGAAGGAAGTGTTCATTTTTTTTCTGCTTGACACTCCATCTTCTTTAGCCCACAATAGCACTGACTTT